TTGGAATTGAAACACAGTCAGGAAAGTATATACAATTGTTGTTAAATTGAATTATTTTCTAATTTTGCAAACTGATTTTCGAGGCAACTAGGAACTATTCCAAAGCCAAACTGGGAAATTCTAGATCAAAAGTTTGTTTAAAAAACGGAAACCTAGAAAAGTGAGTGTTTTTTCGTTAAAAACTTACAGAAGTGCTAAAAATTTTTCCAAAATGTTCGCTACTTGATGGAAACGTTTGATTATAAACCAGCAAAAAAATTATCCAATAGACACTTTTTGAGGGAAGTTGATTAGTTTCCAGTGAAAATCTGTAAAGGCCTGCGTTGGGAAAAGAAAAATACACTAAGGGCTTTTGACGGGAAAATTTTCACATTATTAGGCTTGAAGGTACCAAGACGAGATAGCTGAAAAAGGTATACACCAAAGGAAAAACATCCAATTTCTAAAGGGGTTTTTTAGTAAAGAACCAACAAAAAAACAGAGAAAAATCAAAAAGGAAAAGTTCATGCGTGATTGAAAACAGTGGTTATGCCGGGAGAGTCTTCGGATCGAAAACACAGCATTTTCGATTGAAACAGGTCCGGCCTTGCTGCTTTTTGCCGGTGGCGGCCATTTTTGTCACAGTTCCAGGTCCGGCCGGAGGATATTTGGTAGCAGAGGCGAAAATGTTGTGGGCCAATTATTTGGTCGTGTTTCGGTTTAAATACCGCCCACAACTGAAATTCGACTTTCGGTTCAATCATTGCCAAGTTTACAAATGTCGGTTCCTTCCGCTAGTGCTGTATAAGAGAAGGGCCGATACAGAGTTTTATTATATTGTTAATTACATTGAAACTAAACAGAAATCAACAAAAAACAAAAAAGCCGCCCAATATGTCAAAAAATAGTCGATTTCCTGATATATCAAGCGGATTCAAACAAAAAATCCATCACGAACATTCAAACATACAGAATACAATAAGTCGGTGGCCGGTTTTGAAATTGTTGCCAAACAAAAATTGATTTATTTTCATTAATATTTACACTTGCACAGAAAGGTTCCCAGCGTCGAAACCGTTTTGCGCAATAGTCCGGGGTCAAGAGCTATCTGTTTAGTGCTTGTCGCCAGTGTTCAACTCAGCCCAAAACTGTGCTTGATTGATTGAAGGAAAACATATGAAAAGCCCTCAAATGCGGACAAACTGTGCCCCCGGATGATTGTTTGCATAGCTGACAGAATAACATTGAAGCACATGTACAGGCATTTTTTGATAGCCCCTGGTTTCTTTTTGAGATCAAATCACTTCGTTCAAAGTCCAACTAAATCGGTACTTACAACTTTCGATTTCGATATGGCACAGCTGCCTGTCCATGGGGAAGTATTGCAAGTTCATTGGACAGGACGCTGTAATTGTTAAGCTGAAGACAGAAGAAATATTAATTGAAAGACACTGGAAGGATTTATGATTTAGTTGCTTTTTCAAGGGGTAAGTTCAATGCTTACCGAATACTGCGCGTAATGCTGCCCGAATGGTGTATTCGGATAAATTCGTTTGACGTGGTGGCTTTGTGAAACGAAGACGTTTTCTCGTTGACAAAAAACGTGTCAGGCACCCATATGTTTGTGATGAACTCCGAACCAACAGACAGCATTTCCACCTGAAAAAAACGCTTAATTTCCACCGGAAAATCGGCAGGCAAAGACACTGACCTGCGCCTGTCTCCGGAACGCAAGTCGCGGGTCAGTCCAGAACTGCCGGAAGTAAAAGTCCAAAGTGAAGTCCTAAAAAACGACAAACTCCATTAGTCAATCGCATTCTATCTAAATAACGCTGAATGAACGGTAGCCAATCGATCTGCCCCTTTCAAGTCGCTTTGGAACTGTCCCGGGACATTGATTAACACCGAAAATTAACTAGAGCCCATACTAATGTCCTTTTAATGCAAATTGAATCGCTCTCGGGACAGTCAAGTGGGACGCACGAACTGCCAGTTAATGATAATGGAAAAACTGATTTTTTCTAATTGGGTTAGTTGAAGTTTGAGCAGCACAACCATCATCAAACATGTCCAGACTTCCCCACACAACTTTCCTGAATAGAAAGTCGCAAAAGCGCAACAAAATAGGGCAATTAATGTGAATCAATGTTGGCCTTTCACTCAAACCGTATTACAAAGGCTCATTATTTAAATACTAAGGTCATAGATTGGGCTCAAGGTTGGCACACTCTAAGGGCAAATCGATTTGCTGAAATCGTAAGTTTTTCCGTAAAACATATACCAGCCAGCAATAGTCCGAGGGCCAAGCCCTGGGTGTTGTCCTTGCCGCAGCGTGAAGCTGTTGCTTTGCAGGCACGGGCTCCCGTACTATTAGTGGTTGGATGCAGTCATGCATTGCCCATTATGCAGTAACTTGTGCAGTTTCCCCCCTTAACTAAGTCATGCAATTTGATGCCGAATAGTTGGGGCGAAGGGACGGTTTTTCCTTTCCAACCGCCCCCTAAGTGAAATACTTACAATTTTTTTGAGTTAAAAATGCTATTTKGTATGCACCCCTCTACCCAAATGGGTTAATTAATCGCGATTGTGAGTGAGCGATCAACTATGCCACTAGATAACAAAGACACACCCAAATTTTCTRACACTTTTGGCCTGGAAATTCTGGATTTCAGCCAAAATCCCGGCTGCTGTGCCGCGATCCCATTTCCAGACTAAGGGAATGTTTGTCTAAATACTAAATAGCATTTGTTATTTATCGCTTTCAATTGTGCGGGATTTATGGGCTCAGATTCGAAGAAATCTAGTTTGTTTGTTCCCCATTATGCGGAAGCTCCGTACTGGTTCCAACATGCTTCATGCTCACACTAATGCTTCAACGTGCAAAATGCTCAGCTGATTGAGGGCTCTTCAGTCAGTTTTTGCCCGATCGTTGGGGTTTAGTTTTATCAAAAATCACTCATTGCCAATCTATTAGCTTCGATTAGTTGCTCTCTGATTGGAATTTTGTGGGTGCAAAACGGATGGTTTGGTTGGGCAAATTCCCCCTTCTAGTGGGAAATCAAGTGTTGCCGCCTCAAATATAACCGACTGTGAAAAATCAGTCTATACTCAAATTAGACTCAAATTTGGCTCAGAATGTGGCTCTATGTGTGGTTTACATTATAGGAAAATGTGAACTGATTAGGTGAGGGCGTTTTCGAGTTATGATTTTTTTTGCGCGCGGGTAAGGATTTTAAGGTTTTTTTGCTGCAGCTTCAAATGTAAAGCTTTGTAAAAAGTACGACAATGTTCACATTTGTGCCTAATTGGGTTTAGACGTTACTGCGTTTAGTGTTTATTCTGTGTAAAATTTGAAGCTGGTTCGTGGGATGCATTGGAAGTTACGATTTTTTTCTTGTGAGTGTGTAAGAACTCTTGCCGTGCTCTCATATTTAAACGACTGTAAAAGATCACTCGAGACTCAGATTTAAGGCAAAGTGGCATTGCAGGTGATTGTGTTTAGTGTTTACACTGTGTGAAAACGG